GGGGGGGGGGAGGGGTGCGCAGGCAGAGGGTCGCGGGGGCGGAGGGTCGCGGGGGTGCAGAATTGCCGGGGCGCAGTGCCAGCCTGCCAAGAGTGTGAATATAATTCAACGGGATATGAACAGTCAATATGGAGAGCAAGCGCGAGTCTCCGCTGCGCCGTAGCGCTTGGGGCCGCAACGCCGCTCGCCCACGCAGTGCACTTGTTCCTAATCAGCCAAAGCAATACAGCCTGCAACCGTTGCCAACCGCACCGCCTTGCATGTTTTGTGACGCCCAGGTCAAGGCCAACCTCCTGGGGTCAGAGTTTGTGGCCTGGACCAAGGGCGGCGCCCCCGGCGACCACAAGGGCTTCGGCGCGCAGGCGCTGGCGGCGCGGTACCACCCCACGTCGTCGTCGCCGTCGGGAGGGGCGCGCCAGATGTCAGTCATTGTGCCGGCGCCAGGTGGGAGGGCGCGTGATGGGGGCACGAATTGCAGTCGGCACGCGCCCGTTTATGGGGGGTGGTGTCTGAAGATATCTGCGGGACATCGCTGCAGTCGCGGTGTGCTCAAACGACTGTTGATGCTGTGGGCCGATCTCTCATCTGAGGGGCAAGAAGGGGCCTTGCAACTGGCCAGCTGAATTGTGTTGCCAAGCTGTGCTGCATTTTGGGGATACAAATGAGGGCAGTAGGCAGGCCGGGCGCACCTCAATTGGCTGCTGCCCAATGCACGTGCGCGCGTGTGCACCAGGTGAGCCGCTCTGGCTGCCGTCCGGCGGCGCCGGCGACGCGCCCGACGCGCTGGGGCCGCTGCTGGTGCGCGCTGACGCGCGGGAGCTGGCGCCCGGCGTGGAGCGGCGCGTGGTGCTGCTGCGCAACATGGCGCCGCACTACGACGAGGCTAAGGGCGGTGGGTGGCCAGGGTGTTGGCGGGTGGGGGAGAGGGTGGGCGACGGTTTGCTGGCGGGCTGGGTTGCTGTCCAGGGGTGTTGGGATGTCTTGCCATGGGGCAGTGGGCAGTGGGCAGGGGGCCCAGGATGATGAGCGGGGGTTTGGAGGGTTTTGCGGCTAATCGGGCACCACATAACGCCAGAGGGCCAAAGGCGGTGGGTTTGGCGGCGGGCCGCCCCATTCGGCGGCACGCTGCGCGGTCCAGGCGGGTTGATGAGGGCACTTCCCCAGTCACAAAAGCCAAGTGGGTCAAAGCACGTGGGGGTGCAGTACAGGGGACCGAGGGCAGCAAGGCGCCCCCCCGGTCCCTGCTTCAACCGCACCTTCTCTTCCACTCCCTCCCTTGGCCATGGCACAATCTCTTGCACGTCCTCACCCCCCTCAGAAACCAAGCGCCCCCTCACATGTGCCCTGCGCCACCCACTCCGTCCCCCCTCAACTCCAACCCCACCTCTCCACGAAATGACCCCTCCACCCCAACCC